ATTTATGTGGAATTCAAAGTTAATTATCTGAAAATCGGCTACAACTGACTGATGGCGGCTTTCCACAATGGGTCACTTATAAAATCCGGGAGGGATAAACCCACATACAGAGGAAATAACAAAATTGACAACCAGTGAGTGATTGGTCTCACCACCAATTTCCTTCGCGAAACCTAACTGCGCAGTGGGATATTGGACGCTCAAAAAACGTGACCTTGGTTCTCATTGAACCACGCAGATGTCATATCAAATTAACTTACATGAATACAGTAATCAATGTCTCGACTGGTAACGCTTTTCTATGTTGCCTTGTGGTGCAACATCGTGGCTTCCTCATCGGAATTTATTTGAGATACATCATGCAAACCACACACACATACATACATACATACATTGACTCCTCGTGCCCAGGGGACCAGCCACTTTTTGCTGCTGACAATCCAAGCAGGTGGAGCGAAATTTCGAGTATGCATCAGCACAAACCAATGCGCTAACGAGAGAGAGAGAGAGTGAGACTGAGTGAGAAAGAGTGATATCATTCCGGAAATAGTTTGTGCAGGTTGCCCGAACTGAACAATATAATGACATCATCAAGACCTCCAGAGTTCCTATCTCTACTAGAAAGTTCGTGCAAATATTCGAGCATTACTGGCGTTATTATAAGTAGACATGAACATTGGAAAGAGTATTTTCTGTTACCCTAGATCGTATCCGTATTCACGGGTGCAACTAGTGTTTCGGACGCGAAATCTAGGTTTACACTCTCTTAAAGAACGTAAAGTGAATGCCGAATTTCACCACCTTTTTAGTCAATGCAACAAATTCACTACATGAATGTTATTCTGTACTAGTCTTAACATTTGAGGCTCATACTAATGCTGCAGCAGACTGTCAAGTAGTAGAGGATTCAATTCAATTTGTCAGTCAACGTTGTCGTGTACAGTGTAAGTGAAGTGGACCGAAAAAGCTAAGAGACTGTTTCGACTGGGATGAGTCTCTCACCAAGATTGCGAGTTCATCGAACCTGGGATCTCAGCACAGGTAGAACGCAAGCACACAGCCGACTCGATCATCAGCGGGCTGACAACACTATTTTTACTTTTGCCTGTGCACAAAATAGCACGATCCATAATTGCTAAATGAATGCCTCGCGTGTCAGCACTAGCCTCCGAGGTTATGATTCGATTGAATATATTACGAGCCTGATTACATGCTGCACGACGAACTGATCACACGATCCAATCAGATTTCAGTTTCAGGTGAAACAACCATTACCCTGTACTTTGGTGCGCCGGTTTTTTGTGCTGTCTTTTGGCAACCCATTTGGATGAATGGCAGGAGAAACACAGCAAAGTTCAAGGAAGAATCAAAGAGGAAGTGGACTAATGTTGCAAAGAAATCGAAAAGATGCAAGAACGCAACCGTTTACGACACTCAACCGTATCACTCAGTGTCTCTAACCATCGGTTACAATCATCCCGAGGTCCCAGCTAGGGGGCATAACGGGACCTATGTGACCCAGTCTCCTGGTTAGGGATTTCATACCCTCATGCCAGGTCTTAGCTTGACCACCCTTGGCTTTATTCCACCCACTACCTGCCTCGGCGAACATCGCTCGCCGCGGCAACCTATCTGGTGACATGCGTAACACATGCCCCCAACCAACGTAATCTATGGAGGTCGACCATTTGCTCCAGTGGGCGGCCGCAGTTACCTAAAACTCTGCGCCTAATCTCAGCATTGCTCGCCCGGCTGCCCTACTAGATTCGTACAATGCTGCGTAGACAGCGGTGTTCAAACACTGACAGTCTACCTTTCTTCTGTTTTCTTAATGGCCAAGTTTCTGCGCCGTATAGCAGAGCTGGCCGAACTACCGCAGCATACACTCGACCCTTCACGGACAGCTGGATGTCGCGACAGCACCACAAATGTCTCCAGTTGACAAGTGCCAACCGAGCCTTCTATATGCGAGCTGACACTTCATCAAATCCTCCACCATTCAGAGTTCTTCCTAAATTTTCAGTTCATGCTTTATTCGATCTGTGTACGCGAAACACAATCCATTACTTAAAGTCAATCAGTGACCGATAGTTCGAAAAAAAATAAATGATCCGATTTTGATCGAATGAGAGCAATCAGTCTGTTCTTCAATGTCTAGCTATCGGAAATCTACTCACCTTATGGTCTGATGTGATCAGCATTGTTAGCAAACGATCAAGAAGTTTAGTTTTTTCACTCGCATCAATGATATCCAACTCCGACTCTAGTCCCATATCACAGTCCGAACTGGGTGGGTCGAGTACTAAGAACGGATGATTGGCGATTTGTCTGAGTAGCATCAATCCATTGGTTATGTTAATTTGGGAAGAGATTAAATGCTTCCACTTTTGTGTTGAGGGAGTAATTTCCACATTATCATCTATTTTTTCTGAAGCTTTTTGTTCTGTTTCTGGCACGAGCTTTGTAAACGAACGGGTGACCGGTCGTAGATTGTGACTCTCAGCTTCATCCCCGGATTCCCTTATTTGAGTTGAATGTTGACTGAAATGAAAGTGGACCAGATAATCACACAGAATAGTCTCGCACGTCCTAACCTCGTGCAAGGATGAATGAATGGGTTATGAGGTGACATGGTACACCACTGGGACAGAAATAAACACCTGTTTCATCACAATAATGGTGATAGAATCTTGATTAGACATCTTTCAATCTTGCGGGATCATGCGAACCGGACACTGGAAGACAACGATAGGTCATTTAAGATGAGCTGAAATAACAACATGGGCGGATGACTAACACTAAAATAAAATCTGCTCAAGTGATTTGATAGAAGTGAAGCACACTCAAGCGGGAAAAAAACACCAAAAACGTATTCTCAATGGGTGATGAAACCTCATCAACGAGATTAAACCTTTTTAATTGAACGAAAAAAATGCAGATTTCCCCTCGCTCTACACTTACAGCTTACTGATATCATGTCAAGTCCAGTTATGCTAACTGAACTAACGCCCTGAATGGGCTGAAGTCAGAACCACTATTTAAATGTGATACGACGGAAGACCGTACTCCATCAATCATCTGTCAATTCAAATATCGATGAATGGACAGGTTGAACGAAACAAAATGCTCAACATCTCGGACTTTGCTCATCCACCGATTTATATGAATAAGAAATGGCATAAAAAGTATATTTCGTCGAAAACGATGGAGAGATTTGCGGAAAAAATGTTTCCAATATAGCCCGATCGCAACGAAATGTAACGCACGTGATCATGGACCTTCCGTATACCTTCTTCTATTCTCGTAAGAGAATATCCATCCTCAAGGACTTAGGCGAGCGGTAGAAAAAGTTTGCCGCTAGCACCTGGCAGATGACATGATCAAGGTTGGTTTTTTAGCAATGGAATATGTTTCATGACCGCAAAAGGACACCGGGTAACCACACTGTCGCTGGTACAACCCGTTAGAAGTGCGTATTACTTTTGAGTCTGTCTCCAGAGATAGAAAAGCGAGAATCAGCCCACTGAATGTTCATACCACTGTACACAACTGACAGTCAAAGCAGATCGCATTGGTATATAGGTCTGATGGGGCGACATTTGGTGCCTCCAGAAACTACCAAAAAGATGAAGTAGATGATGGAAATTAATATTTTCTCGATGCACTCACCTGTGCAGTCTTGTCAAGGGACGGGATGGTGTGGTTTTGTTGGTAGTGTGTGATTTTTTGTCCGGTATGATATTGGCTGGGTCTAGCCACGTGATGCTCCCTTGATATCTGAGAGCACGATTTGAGCCTCGAGTGGATTGATCGTTCGATTTAGTGTTCAGACACAGAGTCAGCCCTTGCTCGTATAACTCCTGTAAGGCATATCAGAGTGGGTCCGAAGCAAAATGAATAATCATTACAATGATGTGAAAATGGTTATCTAAGAGCAACAGATTTGTCCAATAAGAAAAAGATTGATATATATATATATATATATATCACGGTACAGGCATCTTTAAGTCAAAAGGGAACTTTTGTGATTTAATCGCAGCAGGGCGAGTTTAACCTGGTGAGAATAAGAACGGGATTGTAGAACGCAAGAGAACAAAATGGAAGCAAAGTGTCTCATCAACCTCTATTTTCTGCTTCCATTTTCGTGCGAGTCCCAGCTACATCTCACCCGGTGGATGCATCACGGATGAAGCGTCAGCTCGCATACAGAAGGCTTCCTTGGCATTTGACAACTTGAGAAATCTGTGGTGCCATCGCGACATCCGGCTATCGTAACCGATGGTTCGAGAAAGTGAGTGATATGGCTGGGTGTCGTAAAAACTGGCGTTTGTGCATGTTCTCACTTTCCTCAAAACATTAGTCCACTGAAATCCTCCAGTTTATATTCGACTCTACTGTTCTCCTCCTACTGTCTCATCCAAACGGGCAACCAAAAGCAACACACGGAAGTGGATGCCTAAAGGTTGTTCAAACCGAAACTGAAAACATTTAGGATATTATGAAGAAATGATAACACAACAATATATATGTCCTTCAGGATTATTTAACCAGAGACATTCTGGACGGAATTTCGATACACAGGCGACTAACGAGATAAACCGAAACAAACAGCCAAGCCCATTTCCTTGTGGGTGAGAACCAAGTTAGGGATATCAAATAAATTCAGCGTGTTCTTAGAACGAGACAATTCAATTTGCTAGGATAAACAACTCTCGATGGGTTGTACTCACCTTTTGCAACTCAGTCATACCAACTCGTAAGAGGATCTCACGTTTTGGTGGCAGAATCAGATTGCTCTCGGCTTTTGTGCGACGAAGCATAAATGGACTGATAATGCAATGCAATTTAGTAACCAGAGCGCGCTCCATTTCGGCAGCAACTAGACGATCCAAACCAGCTCGATCGCTGAGTACAGCTGGATCAAACCAATTCTGCACGACTCGAAAAATTGAGCGAAGTTGAAAAGTTTTTTCATGATGATTGAACCTCGGGAATGGTGTGAGGTCTGCAGTTACATATGTACTGGATTGGTATTATTCATAACTTGACACAAAGAATGTATACACAAGCTCCTGGGCGGAAATCGCATAAATATATATCTATCAATGTGACTAACCATCAAATCTACGTGAAAACGCTAAGAGGATCTAAAAGGACTGTAGTGCAGAGGCGTCTCAGTCTACAACTTTGTGCCATCTTGAATGAGTTCCAAATTTTGAGACCATGAGCTAGTCTTCCTATGCATGTAAACTTAATCCAACGATCCATGACAAAGATCTCACTAAGTTTCAAGAAATTAACATTACGCTGCTTTGAACTTTTCGCGTGCTATGAGAGATAACTACCAGTTATTCAAAACTGCAATATGGCAGAGCAGATCGAGAGTATATATAGGTCTATATATATATATATATTTATGATCAAATGGAGTTTCATTATATTTATCACCTGTTTTATTACTTTAGGTATGGACAATAATTTATAACTTGTCTACTTCGATCTACGTAGTTTCTAGTGTGCATAAGTATCAGTTAGACGTGCCTGACCTTGAGTGCCAAGATTAAATGATCTGAATATGAAAAACAAACTTTATCAAGTATGACAACGCAATGTTTTCCAATAGGAATGACTCAAGAATTATCCCAAATTATTTCCATAAACCCTTGCCATCTCGCTTATTTGTAATGAGGCATTATTTTATCTAATATATAATCCATTATAGCAACTCTATTGGACAACGAAATGAAATTCTTTCATAACCCAGAGAAATTGCATTAAATAAGGTTTCATAATAATAATCTGTTTGATATCTAACTCAGTGAATTCGATAAATACCACTTCAATCAAAGTCATTTTTGTGCACAGCTTAGAATGTTCGTATTGTTGTCACCATAATGAAGCAAGCAGCGTTCAAAACCAAAAGTTCCCGTTATCGCAGTGAAGGGGACAGAAACAGAATCACACGAGCACACAACCTGGGATTTTCCATATCAAATCCTGCCCAATGCTTTAAGGTTAACAAAAGCACAATTTGCAGGAAAGTCCATGGGAAAACAACAACCAGAACAGCTTGTGGAGGCCGTAAACCGAGTACATCGAAAAAGGAGGACGACCTAATTCGTATAACTGTGAAAAAAACTGCACAAAATCGTTGTCGTCTATCCAATGGGAAGATCTTCCCAATCACTTATATTCCCTTCTGCAAAGAAGAATGAAAAAATTTCAAATGCGTCAGATTTCAGCTGACGTCAAGCCAGCATTGAACGCGCAGCAAACGCAGGCGTGTATTGATTTTGCCCGAAAATTCAAATCCCGTCGTGCGTCATTTTGGCGATCGGTTTATTTCGCAGACGAATGCATGGTGTGCGGCGAGCCTTGGAAGGCTCACAAAAAAGTCATTTGTGGTGAGAATTTCCCAAAAGAACTTATTCCACCAAATGAAATAGTTTCTCGCCCATCGAGATTACTCATCTGGGCAGGGATAAAACATGGTCAGTCTTGTCCGTGGACATCAGTCAAAGGCACCATGAATAGTGAGAAATTTGCATCAGTAATTTCGAAAATGTTTCCAGAATTCCATGAAAAAAAAAATCGTCTGGAAAAGTTACCGTTTTTCAAGATAACGCTCCGTGTCATGTTTCACGAGAGGTTAGTAAATTTATTAATTTAAGCAGTCTGGTTTTGTTATTATTTGCTTTTAGACTTCAGAAACCATGCGTGACTCTAAGGTCCAGTTCATGTAACCTCCTCCTAATAGCCCGGGTCTCAACGTGATTGAAAATCTGTTTTCTGTTTTGAAGAGAGAGGTCAATGTGCTGCCTATCCAGTGAACATTGGAGGCAAAAGTGCGATACGTAATGGAGCAGAAAATAGAAAATGACTTCATAACAAAGTTGGTGGATTCCGTGTCGAACAGACTCGAAAAAGTGCTAAAGAACAAAGGCAGGCCAATCGACCATTAGTGTACACAAACCTTACATCTTGCTTATTATGAATGTTTATTTGTTGTAAATAAAAACTCTTCCGTTCTATTTAGTTATGTCTGAACGCATCATGGTCCAGGTCAACCATTACTGACGAAATGGAAGTATCCCTACATTCTGAACCATTCCATCTGCTGAGTATGAACGAATCAGGTAAATCATGTCTATATAGACTCACCAAGGCTTGTTTATTATTTGGAAAAAAATTAACTCTAGTATAAATTCTGTTGCCTATAAAAGCTGAAAAGTGTTTCACAGGGCCTCGTTGCTTCAGTTTCCATTAGACCTATATATATAACTGATTTTCTTGTATTTTTAATGTCCAATGTGTTTACTATCTACCTATTGTACCCGTTACTGTACAAAACTCTTATGCTAAGGTGTACAAATCACGTGATCAGGAGTTCAACATTATGTATTGAAACGATATTTAGGGAAATGTAACTTCCTGTCGCATGCCCGCCCGAAACAAAACGACGACAACGACGACTTTGTGACTCCACGTTGCATCAAGCTATTCCATAAGCGCATTTATGCGGGGATAAGACTACAAATTGTGTACATTGATCACAGCGCTTCCCTTTTTCTCTCCTTCACTAGTTTAGTTGGTGAAAACCCTGTTTGCCTCTATTTTGGCAATGCGTGCAGTTAGGCGATCGCCTGTAACGTGAAGACAATCACAGTGTAACCGGTGGTTCAGGTGAATCACATTCTCATACACTCGGGGAAAAGAATGTGGCACAAATAGAGGGTAAACAATGCTAACAGAATATAATCGAAACAATAAATGGCACGAGAAAACCCATAATAGATTTTGTTCAAAATGTATAAAAAAATATGCGTAACAAAATAATTCAAATAAACTCAACCACTGCTGGAGTAACACTTAATTCTCCATACCTCATTCTTATGTTGGTTTTTAAAAATTTTTTAAGGTAAGCTTTGAACTAAAGGAGAGAATCAAATTGCACAGATGGGTTGCATTCAACGAGTTACAACGACGAGACGAACAGAATACTACTTACGAGTAGGCAGAACATTGCAGTAAAAAATGTTCAAACAAAAAAATGTCAGCTGTTTTTTTAATTTAAAGCGAACTACAGAATACCCTAAAAATAAAGAGGCCATGTGCCACAACCAGCACAAATGACGAAGTTTGTTCCACAGAAGAGGTGCACAAGGTCAATAGGTAACAAAAGTCGGATGCCCCCGGAGAGAATTGAACTCTCGACCCCTGGTTTACTAGACCAGTGCTCTAACCACTGAGCTACGAGGGCCGTACGGGGCGACAGTTACAGCACTATGCAAGCCAAACAACGCCACCGGAACAAATCACACCGAAACCGGTATTCATCTATTCCCGAAGTATAACCGAATGCTGTTCAAATAGCTGGTCTTCGTGAACGGCATTCTGTTTGCGGAAGATTGTCCTCGAAGCACTATCTTTCAGACGAATATGAGCGTTCCTCATTTCAGAATGCACGTGAGGATGCGTGTGAAAACAACTGAGTACCTTATAGATGCCTTGAATGATGGATTATCGGAAGACGCGCCTCAAGTGGAGACACATTGATTTGAGTGGCAAACAACAAAATGGGGTACTAGCGTATGTAATGAATAAC